CACTAAAACATCTCTTGGAACATGTGCTGGCTCTGCAGCAGTTGAGATTTTGACTCCCCGGTTCCCATCTGATGAGAGACACTTGCCTTTTCATAACTCCACCTGCAAGTGATCTAGCAGGGGCATTCACTAAAAAGGAACTCAACCAAATGGATCCTGAGAAAATTCTGCTAATGTGGCAAATCCCCTTTGTGTATAACCTTAAACTCATCTACCATTAACTGACTCTGAGGTCTGCAATTCACTGCAAGGAGGGTGGTGAGGGAGGGTAGCGCTAGGTGTTCCCACCAATTGTAAAGCCCTGGGAAATGGCAGCATCACATATTCAGGATTACTGCATTTTCATGTAAAGTAGCAGGACCAGGCAGAGAGTTTGGTGGCAACTAGAAAAGCTCAAGGTAGAAAAGGCCAAGAGCGTCAACCATTCCAAAATTAACACATCTCTTTATAATCTTTATCAAAAAATTAAATAGTACTACATTCCAAAATGTTTTATTGGAAATAAGTGTGATTTTGTGTAATGCTGGTCTCAAATCAGACACATTTTCTGCTGTGGGAAAGCAGGGCTGTTTGGCTCTGGAGTGCTTTATTGCTGCCCTGTTATCAGGATTGCATTCACACTGGAGCTCACACAGAAGCCAGTGTTGTAGGCGTATTTGGGTTGTCTTTTGGGTCATGTGCCAGTTTAACATGGACTGAAATCTACCTCCTGCTGCTTCACAAATTCAATTCTTTACCTCCAAAGATGGAGTGTGGCCACGGCATCTTCTTCTCCATTATTTTTTCTGGATGTTTGAGATCTCTGATGACATTAAAAAATGTCCACCACAATATCCATCACCCACTTGTATCTTAAAGTATGTGACTACATAACCCATTCACACTTATTCCACCTGAATAGACCCCTCCAGGCCAAATTCCAGGAAGGTGCCAGCACTTATTTTCAGTCTTACCTTAACATCTCAGCTGTTGGCAAAGAAATATGAATTCTTACTCCCTGGTGTTAGAAGACCTTTTTTAATTAAATGTAGTTGTTTTGAATAGACATCACAAAATTCTGATTATTTTGTGTCTACTTACCTTTTCTCTAGGTCCACATACAAAATTTAACAGAGGTTTCATGGACCATTTCAAGTGAGGAGAACATTGTTTAGCCKTCAAGCTCAGTTAAGTTACAGGAAATTACCAATAAGGATGTCAAGGACATTTCTATAGCTTTAGCTATGACAGCTAGCAGTACTCATTTCTAATAACCTATTACCTAATGTATTTTCTAATAAGCTGTAATTCTGGTATAACTAAAACTTTTCTCTTAGAGTCCTGTCTCAAACATATATTGAAGCCCAGAAGAGGAATTTGTCATTGTTGTCCAACTCTTCACTGAGAAGGCAAGAATTTGTCTGTGAAACATCTCCAGAGCTGGAGTGACTGATACCACAGAGCACAGCCATTATACAATAGTAGAATTACTCCCTTCACAAATTATTTGGAAATATGATCATGAGTTCTACTGAGATGGAAAGGAAGCTGTCATATTCCTAAAAAGGCATAGACTGTTCTGATGAAACAAGAAGAGAAGTTTCCGGGTTAGGAAAGCTGATTCCCTGAGTGGAAGAGCATTGCACTGATCCTTACCTAGCCTTTCACGTGACATCAGGCTGGACAGCAGGTGCAGTCCCCAAGTTCCCTAGGAAACTATGGCAGAGGCCTAAAACAAAGTTCCCTTCTGGACTACACCAGTGGAGCTTTTTCCCTTGGAAATCAGAAGAGTTAAGAAGAACAAGCTGCTCTGTGCCCAGATTTCACCAAGATGTTAGGCTGATGTCTGGCTGGAACACTCATGTTCAGCAGCTTGGAAGAGCTCCAAGTTCTCCAGAGTGTTCAAGGGAGCACAGTCTTCCTGACAACTCAAACACAGGCACAGACAGAATGAAATACAGGTTTCTTTTTTGTTTATAAAGTTGAGCACCTTTAAGCCTTGTTTAAACCTTGTTTGTAAAAACCACAGATGCTGGTGGCTCACTTTTGGTCTTCTGCCTCTGGGCAGCTGTAACTAGCAGATGAGCCACACACAGAGCTCTTCCAAATAGCTAATGAACTTGAAGCAGAACACCACAATCAGCATGTATGGCTACACTCCGACCACRGATCCTATTCTCTCCCTGAAGAGCCACTCTTTCAAGCTGGTCAAAGACTGGAGGAGACAGAAGTGCAGGTGACATATATATGCTGCACAGCGGTGGCTGTCGACCATTACTGCTCTTAAAAGCTGCCTGAAGCCTTTTCCAGGCTGTTGCTCAAAGGGACTTTAAGACATTGTATGGCCTCTCCTCTGGTCTCAAGATAGGAATGACTGTGCCAGTCTCTCTTCTGAGAGACAGCAGCCTGAACTGTTCTCTTCAAAAATTATGGAGGCTCTGCAGTCTCCCCAGGCAGTCTGTACCCCATGTTTCACTGTTACATAACTTAATGCTCCTTTCCTGCAATTTAAGTCAATTAGTTCTTGAAGCTGGAGAACAGCTTGTCCCTTCCATTTTGCAGCTATTTCTGTGCGTTTGGAAAAGGTTATCGTGTCTCACCTCAGTCTCCTCTACTCCAAACTAAGCAATCACAGCCTCCCAGTTCATCATACAGAAGCCAGGATGCTGCTGGCTGGTGATAGCTTTCAGTAACTGCTGACTGGACTGGATTTGTACCAGCAGCTTGTAGGTGAAAGCTTTCAGCAGCTTAAGCTCTCTGAGCCAGGCTGTCCTTTCAAAGACATGAAACTTTTTTCTGTAATCCATTACAGCGCATCAGTAAATACACATTACAGTACAGTAAATTTCTGGAATTTTCTCCATCACATTAGGATATCCTAACAAGAAAAAAGGAAAAGACACCCTATTTCATGAAAGTGCATTTTAGGGCCAAACTCAAAATAGGATTTCCAACAGGACTTGAAGAGTAGAAAGGGAAAACGCAATATATTGTGTTAATGCCTTCCTTGTTCCACCCCCTCTACTGAGCAAATTAAATGAAATGCATGAACTATGTCTTGGTTTGCAAATGAAACTTGGTATTTGTATTTGCTGCCATGTCTCAGAGTGTTGTTTTTCATTTTAGGCTTTGCATGGTAGTAAACACTGCAATGCTTTACATTCATTAAGCTCAGGCCCATTTACCCTGTGCAGGCAAAGCAAGTGCATATATCTCAGACCCATAAAGCATCAGTTCAGAATTACACAGGAAATAAATGAGACTAAGCCAGAAGTCCAATTTCCAGAGTCCAGCTTACTAAAGCTAAACAAGTACCTTAGATAAATATGGCCTATTCTAAATGAAACGTTAGTGTAATTTGATAACTGTCAATAATTCCCTCATTATGTCTAAATGAGCTTGTCATCCAAGGAGATTGCTGCATGGCTGATCTTAATTTGCTAATAAAAACCACAGAGAAGAATTTCAGCTAAACTGGAACTGTGTGATTCATAAAAGTGCAACAGTGCACTTTTTAAAGCATTCCTTCCCAGTCCTGGCTCCTGACTGGCTGAAGCCCAAAGCCAGCTTGCTCTGCAGCCTGTAAGAAGGCAGCTTTGCTATGTAGGRACAATGAGTGATTGTCTCTCTAAATCACTGTTATTCCTTAGCCCATTATAGTTAATTTATTTTTAATCATGTTGTATAATAGAAATAAAATCATTGGATTAAGCATATATCTAGCAGCGGGAGCCCATTATCCTTTGACAATGTTCTGTGTCATTGACATTATATCTTCACTGTAGACAGTTTTCTTGCCATCATTAGTCCTAGAATGACTATTGGATTTCAAGGGTTTCTCCCTAATCCATAATCAGATTTACTTGCTAACAGCAGAAAACAAAAACAAATATATGCTTCTATTGTTTCACTGCTATGGAATTCTTATTTTAAGCTATTCAGAAAAATCAAGTTGAAACCCAGATATTAAAAGTATTTAAAGTTTTCCTGAATAATTCTGATTCAAGGGAAAGCCCTTTGTAAGTTTGTAAGCTTTGAATATTTTTTACTTACTGTGGCTCTATTTGACTTAAACAAGCAAAAATACCTTGCCAGTTCTTGAATCAACTAAGAGCTACTTTTTCTCGCAATGATTTTCTCAGACTGGTTAAAACCAATCTCAGTACAGGCCATTTTCTCTAGAAAAGGCTACAAGGGGTTCATCAGATTCCATGGAAAGAAAGAGGGAGAAACTTTCCTTCTGAGGTTGCCAGCAATTTCTTTGTGGTAAGTGCTAGCTAACACTCAGCACTAATGTTGGGAGGCTGAAAACTCCTCCGGCATGCTGATCCCCATGGGATAATTCAACAGCTCTTCATTTGTACCAATGGCAGTCACAGTTAAATCTAAAACTAGCATCTTCTACACCCTATTAACAGCAGCATTAGAATGCAGCAGAGACTATCCACAGAAAAAAAAAGCCTTTTATGTTATCTCATAGTTATCTTTGAGGAGGTGGCAGATTTCCCTGTGAAAATTATCCTTATAGATTGCCTCTTATTTAAGGATATGCTGGTACTATCAAGTGGTGCCTTTTTTATGCTGAAATTGCTAACACTTAAGAGTCTCTGCACGACTCTTTCAGCTGGGAGAGCAGCTTCAATAGATACCTATTTTCCATATATGTAGACAAGCTGTGACACTTTCACCCTTATTGACATGATCTGCATAAACCATGTGGTTTCCATTAAGAAGGGTCCACACAATATAGTCAACTCTCCATTATCTTGGCTAATAGGAGAATAGAATAACCCAGATAAAGGAAAGACATGCATAATTATTGCTACCAGATAAGAGCCGGCTCAAATATTTCTGCACTGTGCTCCCCAGACAGAGCTTGTACTTCTGTCAGAGCTTGCCAGCTTAGAGTTTATTAACTCAGGCATTACTTGCATCCATCTGATACAAACAAGGTAGCTTGTGTGTTTCTATGATTTAATCACTCCACAAATATTCAAGTTTCTGAAAMTCATCTTGGCTATAATTAAATAACAACTTCCATATTCACCCTTTTATATGTTCTGATACTGACACAACGCAGACCTAGTCATGCATGGCCAAGTCAAGGCTGAATGTGGAATAATGAGGAAAGGCAAACTACACATGAAATAAAAGAGAAGTAGGTTCAAGACACAAGGGAATGCAGAAGACAATACAGGGATGTATAATATAGATTCACATATAACAATGAAATTAAAACAAGYGCTTCCTCTCTTATTTCCAGATAGCACTCTCAGAGGAAGCATACTCAGGACTCACAAGTAACACGTGTGAACTACAACTACCTTGCTACATGAATTGTTGGAGGTTCCTTTTTTTTACTGTGTTGTAATTCCTCAGCCACATTGAACTTTTGTCAGTTGTGAGCTCTCAAAATGTATAATCTTCACAGACCTTTTAGTACCAATACATAGCCTTCCCGATCTCAGCACTGGTATATAAATTGTAATGCTCAGTCACAAGAGACTCTAAGTTCTCTTACAGATATATGGACAAAACAGTGTCTTTCCCGCTATAGAAAGAAGTACAGATTTCTTACAAAGAAAATGAAAATGTTGCAAACAATTTTTTTCTGGATTCTCGTGGAAGGGAAGGGATAATGAAGAACTAAACTCAGACCTAATGAAATCAGCAACACCATTTCTTAAACATTGAAGTAAATTATCTTATAGAAACCAAACCATTGCCAGGAAAGTTTTTAATGGTATACTTGTACATGACATTGTGTTGAGGAATTGATGCTTATATTCTGCCACATTCCATGTTGCATTTACAAATTAGCATTGCCTTGGTTTGTCTGCACATTACAATTAGAGCTACACAACGATGCAAGGCACAGGCCAAGCTGTAAAGGGGACAGCTGACGGGTTTGAGAAACTAGCCATATCACGTGATGTAAATGGCTACAGAAAGAGTAACAGATAGCAAATCACAGTGCCAAACATATCAAATCCCTAAATATCTGTTCATTTTACTTAAAGCATCACATACAGTGTTTAGATCGCTGCGGAGGTCCTGGACAACATTTTCTATACTCCTGGTATCCTTCAGAATCTCAATGCTTTGTGTATATGGATTGAAATACACAGAGAAGGGACGATTGATTGATTTGGCGAAGTCCCTGAAAGAAAATAAGAAAATTAACTTTTTTTTCCTCAACTGCTAAAGAAGAGAAAATTAAATTTTTGAGTCAGGGAAAATAATTTACCTCATTTTTTCTTTGGCTTCTTCAAAACTCTCTGAAACAAAGTAAGCTTCCTGGAAAGTAGTGATAAGGCATTCTTGCAAACAGGTTGTCTTTGGATCGAATGTTTTCACGTTGGCCTTGTCTGAGAGAGCATGCTGCAAAATACACCACAGGATCTGTTAAATTGGATTTTGATATTGCTGTGTATCTACATCAACTGTTTATATATACAGCTTTTATATTGCTGTGCTGTATGTTTCCCACTAATTGGTAGCCCCTCTTGTTTTATATACTTTTTTTTTCAGTTTGAACAGTCAACAGAATTTGTTACTGAAAAATGTCTTACTGTGGAAGAATTTCTTTAACTATAATAATAAAATAATAAAGAGCAGATTAGAAATGCACCTGCCATGAAGACATACAGATGTAAATGTTGAGATGGGAACAGAAAAGTCATCAAATAACCATTCTTGAAAACTTATCTATACAATTACAAGTATGTATGTCCCCAAAATGTCATTTAACTAGCAGGATTCCTTCTTGTCTTGGTGGGTAAATTGGGTTTGACCAAACTATTCATATAATCTGTGTTTTACATTTTCAGGCCAAAATCATATACTATTTTCCTAACAATGACAGTGCATCTGACAACCCATTAAATAATACCAATGTAGTGCATGACAATGAAATGCATTACTCTTCTGCCACACAATATGAGCAATAATGCTTCATATAGTACTAGAAAGGAAAAACAACTAAACAAACAGACATAGATAAGTACAGAAGAGACAATGGGTAGGTAAGGCAAATGCTGCTACCAAGAGTAGAGATTTCTGATAAGCCTTTTTCTTTATGTGACTTGCACAAGCCACCAGAAAAGAGAGGTTTCAGAACTGAAAATCAGGTCCTAAGACATTTTCCAAGACAATCTGCTCTAGCTCCCCGTTCAACTTGAATACTTGTGTTGGGTTTTGGATCTACCTTTTCTTCTAGAGCATACATATTTTCACTCTCAGTTCCCTGTTACAGAAGTATAAGGCAAGGAAGGAGAGCATATTTAGGTCACCTTTCAACCTTCTTTAGTCCCCTGATATCTACATAGAGTAAAGATGTGCATGAAAAGCATAAAGAAATGACAGGGAGGGAGCAGATCCCTGAGGTCCAAAGGTGCCCCTGATTTCTTTACTTTCTATGTGCATGAGCATTCTTTATAGCGAAGTAAGGTATTAACCTTAATGTATTCACCACAACTTTTATCCGTGCTCTTGCTTKTGCTCATTCCTAAATCCCTGTGAAAGACTCTGAAAATATCAACCTCAACCTGCAGTCTCCAAATAACAGGACAGAAAACTGGAACAAGAGCCTCTTCCTCCCACCTCCTCTCTCTCCAAAAATAAATACATGAAAAATTAATGCATGGAATCTTAAAATGTCAGGGAATTAACTTTCTTTAGTATACATATCTTTTCCTTCTCACAAGACTTGCTGTTTCTAGCCAGCTATCAGTTAAATAGGTTTGAAAACAAATATAAAAAATGGTCTCTCAACCATCATCTAAATGGATTGCAAGAACAGGTTCACCGTATTGGGCCCCTGCCTATACACCTAGTTTTCACTTTCCCTTTGCAGAGCCATGACGTGCTTGAATGCTTATAATTAATGCATTAATTCCTTCTACTGAAATGAATTTGCCTTTTTTCACTAGGAATTATAATAGATTCCCCGGGAGAGTAACTATAGATAAAAATCCCTTCTTAAGGCGCTCTTGTACTTCCAGGTGAGACTTGATGCCTCAAATGTCTAAAGCACAAAGTTTCAAAACTCTGAGTGGATTGAGTGAAGCTGATTCCTTGCAGCGAATCAAGATTATGACACAGGCCAGGATTTCATAAGAACTGACTATTTCTGGCTCATGGATTTGTTCCTGTACTGTGAAAGGTTCAACAGAAAGGGAGGCAGTGTTAACTTCTCTACTTACTAATGGCTTCTGATGAGCCAGGCCCAGTTCTTGGGACTGAAATTATCAGAATCGAAAAGGGATTCAGCCTGTGGCTCCTACATGGTGAACAACTGTTCTAATCACTGACCCCTAATTTCATAAAAGGAGAGAGTTTAAAGAGAAGGAAAGGCTGATTCTGTCACATGGGGTGTCCTCTGAGAAAGCCTTTCTCGTTGCTTCCCTCACATTATACATATGAACTGACTCATCCTTTCTGGATCCCAGTTTAGTTACACATGAACAGAGCTACTGCTTCACAAAGCAGTTCTGTGGAGAGTGGAACATGAAGACACAGAAAAATGTGCAACCTGGAGATGGAGAATAAAGAATTCAGGGATGCCTTCAAAATTAGGTGACATCTGACAGTTACTCTTAGTACTGGAGTTTGGAGATGAGGTGTGTAAATTCTGATGAATTCACACCTGAGATGCCTATGTCCCTTCCAGGATATATTCTTCTAGCTCTTAGATCAAGTAGGAATTTTCATGGCTACCAAAGCATTGTTTCCACCTTGCAAGTCTGTGTTTTTAAATTCTGCAGCCTGGCAGAATCCTGTAACACTTGCTATTGAGTCGATACACTGACACCAGCAATGACAGARTTCAGTAACTGAACTGAGCCTGCAGACAAACCTTCAGAGGGACTATAAACTGTCTAGTGTGAACGAGAATGGTTAAGACACAGACCCAAAACTGACCAGAGCATTTATCAGAAACATTACAGTGCTCTRAAATGTTAGTCCTTGGCACTCTCAACACTATGAAGTACATCATCTCAACAAAAAAATAATGGTCTCGTGCRTCCAAAAGCTTTCAACTTCAGGCCTGTATTTTTTCAAATACATGTTATTCAGTTCAGGTTTGRTCAGACATTCAGTTCTTTAGTGAGCTCAAATGAGTAAGTACCCAATACAGATTTCTCCATCAGAAACCTCTTTTGTTATCCACCTCCAATGAGATGTTAGGGTTAACACTGATATGGAAAATAGCTTTTGGTAAAATAAAGCACCTCACCAACTTGTGAATCTGCAATAACTGTCTCTAACRGCCCATTCATATAGAACATACTGGTAATGCCAATAAAACCACTGGTGATTCTCCTTCAGTTCAAGAAATAAGAGCTTGGAGTGAAACCTCCAAATGAATCATCAATGATTCTCAGGAACAGCAGAAGTATCAGACAACKTAAAAATTTGACAATTATCCATACTGAAAATAAGCATAACAATGAAGAAGTGTCTCCACTCCCTGCCARATGAAAGGTTAAAAGAGTGATTGAGGTACCTAACCACAGATCTCTAAGGCCTAGGCTGTCTGATGCATTGTACAGCACAGAATCTAAAAAACACTTTTACACATTTCTGTAGTGGCAGCTGGTCAGAAATACTAGGGCATGTCCAACAGCACCAGGCATTTACACTGCATAACTGTGAAAAAGTTTCTAAGTGACCACTATCACTGACATATGAGAAGAGAGTTTGGTCTTGTAAATCCTGAGTATAAAAATGGAGTAGAATAATACAATCCAGAGCTTTTCAGTTTTGAGAAAAAAWTTAATACAAAAATCAAAAAAGTAAAATCTTCAGCTAGCAAGAGGAAAACTTGAGATGAGTTATAAATACTGCACTGTCTGAGAAGAGCAGGAGGGCAGAATAGGAACACAGGTGAGAAGTTGTGTCTGTGCCAGTACTGATTTTATCRCCTTGTTTTCCCAGGGGGAGTACACAGAGTCTTGGAAAACCTGCTATTAAATGTTTTCCTGCTTATCTACAACATAAGTTGCGAGTCTGACAGTGTCCTGTCAGAATCTGACAGTAAATTTTGTTGAACAGTATAATTTTATATATTGTCTAGAAAAATACAGAAAAAAAAATCTCTATTTAAAGAGTCTTGAAATGAGCATCTGGGATAAAGGAGTTGTTTTCCACATCTTCTTCAAAAAACAGAGCTAAAATTTGCATTTGAATATTTTTGGTTACAAAATCTAATGCTGGCACTTCTCAAAATAAATTACCATCAAAACAAAATAATACAATTGGATACTGTATTTGACTTCCAAAATTTATAGAGAGAGATTTGAAGACTACCTTTCTGTTGAGTACAGAAGCATACAACAGGGATATATGACTTGATTTGCAGCCAACTGACATGGATAGGAGTTTCCTTTRATGAAAGAGTTCAAGAGAGCATCACACAAAGTAAATGGATTAAAGTTTCTGAAGATATTTGAACCGCCTTTTAGAAACAGTTTTAATAATTGAAATGTACATTATTTCCACCTTATCTCTAAGCCCCAAATACATACTGTGTAATAGTGTTAGCTAGAGTTAACCTGACTATATTAGGCAGAACATTTTATAASTACTTACTGTATTATTCGTTTCCCCCCAGGCTTCATTTTTAATCTTCTCTTTCTCCTTATTTTGTTGTGCTTCAATTTTTTTTTTACTTGATGCTTCCATAGCATGCACATCAGGAGATGCATTTTTCATTATCTGAAATTTTAAGTCTAAATACTGAGTGGGGAAAAGGATTTGAAGAGAATCCTATATTGATAGCTAATTTCTCTAGCTTTTACAGTTCTTTGTTACTAGAGCTGTTGACCAGATTTGTAAAGTGGAGCATTGTAATATAGAAAAAGGGATGACTGAAGAAGCCATTCACTTCTCTGAAAGGCCCAAATACTGCTTGCCATTTCTACCCTGCAAATAGACTCATTAATTTCTAGAAATTTATTTAAATTATACATAAAATTGGCCACCATTTTATTTCCTGTGAATACCTCTACATTGAGAAAAGAGCTGATAGGGACAGCAGTTGGAGACAGGTCCTTCTTCTTGCTCACAAAAGCATATTAATAACAAATGTCTGTGCAGCACCCTCAGTAAATWTGAAGACAACACCAAGCTGGGCAGGAACATTGTTCTGCCAATGAACAGGAAGACACTGCAGAGGGATCTGGACAGGATGGATCAATAGACTGAGGCCAGTCACTGAAGTTCAACAAGGCCAAGTGCCATGCCCTGTACATGGGTCCCATCAACCCCTGGCAGTGCTACAGGCTGGGGGAAGTCACTAGAAAGTGACACCAGGAAAGGACCTGGGGCTGCTGGCCAACCAGAACTGAACATGAGCCAGCAGTCTGCCCAGGTGGCCAAGAAGGCCAATGGCATCCTGGTCTGTTGTCAGCAACAGTGCAGCCAGCAGGACCAAGACACTGATTGCTCCCTGTACTCAGCACTACTGAGGCCACACCTCAAGTCCTGTAGCCAGTTTGGGGCCTCTCACTAAAAGAAACACATTGAGGTGCTGAAGGGTATCCAGAGAAGGGCAATTGAGCTGGGAAAGGGGCTGGAGGACAAGACTGATGAAGAACAGCTGAGGGAACTGGGGTTGTTCAGCCTGGAGAAAAGGAAACTCCAGGGAGACCTTATCACTCTCTACAGCTACCTGCAAGGAGATTGTAGCCAGGTGCGRTTTGGTTTCCTCTCCCAGATAACAAGTGACARAATAAGCAGAACAAGCTTCAAGTTGTGCCAGGGGAGGTTTAGATAGGAAAAATTAGATTAGGAAAAATTTCTTCACTAAAATGGTTGTCAAACATTGGAGTAGGCTGCCCAAAAAAGTGGTTGAGTCACCATCTCTGGCACTATTTAAAGCATGTGTAGATATGGCACATGAGGACATGGCTTAGTGCCACACTTGGCAGTACTGGATTAACAATTGGACTTGATCATGTTAGAGATCTTTTCCAACCTTAACTGTGCTATGACTCTATACAGTCAGACAGCAAAGTTCAGCATTTCAAGATCTGCCTTCTGTGCCAGAGATACTCAAGTATTTGAACTTCTTCATAGAAGTGACTATGTSTCCACAATGAGCCCTGTTTTAGCTATGGCAGTAGTTATTTATGAAAGGACATCTTCATTCTTACACCTGTAAGAAGTACAAGTGTTGCACACCTGAGGGGGAGACACCACAGCCATGCAACCTGAAACCCCACTCACAACTGAAATAGCCAGTATTTTTCTCATCATTTTCAGAGCAATTGCTGCCATCTGTAAGAATTTCAGTTACAATCAGGACATTGATATAATCAAGATCTCAATAACATTCTATTACCATGATTTTTCAGACACCTTCAGGTCAAGGAAGAAATTTGGCCTCCAAGTAGGTGCTAAGAGGGAGGCTGCTTTCCCAGGAAACAGYAGAGACTGACAATGGCTTGATGGCTTTGCTTTTGTGCACCAGTCTTAGAAGCCCAGATATTCTCCTCCCTAAACACATGCCTGATAATATYGTGTTGACAAGAAAACCTTTCATGCCAGGATTGTGGTCTAGAAATGGCTTCTCCCATGATCATTTTATCAGAAAACTTAGTTGTATTTTGCACTTTTTTCCTTAACTTTTACCTTCTTTTCCATARTGGAGCATGTGGAGCCCTTTCAGACTTTCTGAACATTTTTCACCCTATSAGTCCCTTCATGGAGATTATGTCTGTGGTGCTGTTCTGTTCCCACAGCACAAAGTGCTCAGTTTCTCAGTGACTGAAATTACTAACTTAAATTCCTAAGTTCAGTATGTGCAAGATGTGGTGAAATTTAGTATCTTATTACACACAAAAGGTCAAATCAGATAATATAATAGTCCATTCTGGCATCTTATCTACAAAACATATATGTAGTGTAATAGGAAAGTATATAAAATTATTGACTTATGGCAAAATTATTATGACATATATCTGGCCATACCACTGTAGCAGATCAATATAGTCCATTAATGTGCAGAGTATTTAGCTTTTAGTGTAGCTTTTCAAAAGGATTATTCTTTGATTTATACTCTGAGATTACTGCTGAGCAAAGAACACAGATTTGGGATCACAAATGTGTGGTACCAAACGTACAAACTTGACAAGAATAATGCATTTATTTATGACATTGATGGCAGAAKATTTATTATGTTCTTTACTATTCATTTCCTCATTTTTATGCCTTTAGATTTTGTAAATGATGTGGTAGGTATTTTCAGGGTCATCACCTAGYGACCATAACTGTTAGCTTAAATAAAAGCCCTGATTCTTTACAGAACCCTGCACAGTTTGGGGCTCAGCACTGAATGTTCTTGGGCCAAAGGAAAACAAATGGGACATGTTTATCTCTTTTCATTTAAGCATCTTTGCATTGTGAATATAAAATATTGCTAGACAGATACTGCTGAAGCATGCACAGAGCTTACAGCAATTCTAATGCAATCAAAGAAAAAATACTGGAGAACATAATTTTCTTCAACTTTWTTTACAACTAGAGGAATAGCAGTTTGACTAATGAGCTTCACCACAAATATTCTCAATTACAGGTAAAACAAACAGCAAAAAGGGATCGAGATACTTCTACTAAATTGCCAGGTAGTTCACTGAAAGCCAGCCCAGGAGAGAGGGAAAATGTTTAAACACAAATAAACAATAGATAAATTGCAAAATAGTTTTCAATACTCTTCTGCATATTCTTTCTAAATCCAGATGTTTATTTACCTGCAAAGCCACCCAGGGTTCATTTGGATCTCTGAAGAYAGTGTTCCTCTCTCTCTTTACCATTCCCTCCCATCTTACCAACAGAGACGYATTATGTCCCAAAATACTACAGCTGTGACAAAACAACTTTTGCCTGTTCCTTATGTTTTCTAGGCGTAAAAAGAGGCTAAAAATGATCCACTGCAACTACTCACACCATGCAAGGTTAAACACTTTTACCTTTAAAAGAATAAGGTTCTGTATTGTCACCCAGGCATTCAACTGGTGAGTTTCTATGTGTTCCTTAATTTAAAATATTAATTATCTACTGAATCAAGATCTTAATGAATGTTGTTCTTTTCATATCAATAATAAATCTATTCAAGTACACTGGATTATTTAGAACAGAATCATGYCTGATTTCTAACATTTTTTGTGGGTACTGAAAATCCGTGCTTCTCATCCAAACAAAGCTTTTAGATCCCAAGGTACTCTTACCTGTTAGAACCCTTGAACTTCCTCTTACAAGAAATGAAAATTCAAACAGAAATAAGTTTTGTAGTTTATAGTTGCTTTGGAACTTTGGGCCTTACAAGTCCATTTCATGCTTCAAGTGCCAGCTGATATTTCAAACAAAGCTTTTAGGTCCATACCATATTTTAAATATAAGCTTTTTATCTTGAGAATTTTAACTGTTATTTGAAAGTCAATATATTTATATCCAGCTATTATTTTGCAAAGATTAAAAGTTGACTCTGTTTTCAGGGTACATACCTTTAGTTCTCCAATAGAAGACAGAAGTCCTGCCCCGTAAGCACGCAATTGTCCTTCTTGCTTGCAAAGGCCAAATTCAATCGTAAAGAAATAGCACTGTAAAATATATACATATTCAGACACACATAATATAGCTGCAAACAGGCATTTCAGCAATAACAATCAGTACCATATTCACTTGCTTATCCCACTTCATCAGAATTATCTAATTTGAATATAAACTCAGATAAAGCATATTATTACTGCTAAGTAATTTAAATGTCATGTTCAGCAGTAAGGGAGCTTTGCACAAAAATGTGAGATTTTGGCCTCTGGCTGAGCACCCAAGCAGTTCACAGGAATAGTTCTGTAGGAACAGACAAGAAAAATCATTTTTAGGTATCAAAGGTGCTGACAGTAACCTACAGAGATTTTTGAAACTCTCAGAAATAAATGGGATGCCTTAAAATAAAATCCTATGAGGTAGCTGGTCTGGCTGTCTAGGAACATCTGAAAATCTCTAAGACATAGTTCAGAGCACTCAGCTTTAAGCTCAAGCTGATCTTTAAAGCCTGCACATACTTAAGTGCTGTCTTGAGTTATAATGAAGTTACTTATAGGAATGTGCTTAAGAGCCCTTTTGAGTTGAGGCCTTAGTCTTCACTAGCTTGTACTTTATCAAAAATAAAGAACTAATAAGGCATTTGAGTTCTTCAATTGCAGAAAGAAAATTATACTCAGTCAAATGAATTCACTTGACCAATCCACTACAATTGTCTTTAGGTCTACATTCAACCAGGTGATATATCTGACCATAAAACTGATAAGAAGGTATGAAAGGAGATGTGCTAAATCAATGTAACAGTACAATGTAACAGCTGTATCTAATTTTGCTGTACCCACCCAACAAGGTTTAATGTCAGGAAGATCATAAGAAGCACAGTTCGCCTACTGCCCACTAAATGCAAAAGATCACAGTCAAYTCTGCCCCTATGGTACTGAGATTTAGTTTGGTTTTGTTGTGACACATCAAGATTGTTTCTTTATATTAGATCAAACAGTTGAGGTTAAGATAGCAACTATTTCTATACATGAAGGTTTTAGGAGTTGAGTTCTAAGTTGCACAAAAATATTGCACATATATATACACATACCACTATGTATGTTTGTGTTTATTATCTGACAATTTCAGGTTTTCTGCAGGGGCATAACTCCATCAAATCTAGCAGATTTATGTGTCTTTTCAGGAAATATGAATTTAGGATAGGAAATAGCCTAGTATTTTGTACTAAATTTTAATTTTTTTCAATAGCTTCAGACTGGATCCTAATACAGGGGTTTTTTTTTTCCATTCACTTTCTCCTTAACTCCCAACTCTTCCAGACTGAGTACATTAAATGTAGAAGACCAGAAATGAACAGTTCTTTTAAGTTCAACAAATATTTAGAAATTCAGGAATTATTAATTGCTTAACCTCATAAAAGTTTCTGTAGAGCTAGTGATTCATTCTGTAGAGCTAATAGAAGGGCTTAATAAAAAAAAAAAAAAAGAATGAAAACATGAGACCTGTGTCTGATCCAAACCTGCTAAGTCAGCTGAGAAGAAGGAACAGTTGCAGATATTTCAAATGTCTTAAGTCAGTTCTATCATACCATTCAAATGCACTGATATCCATAGAAGGAGGTGAAAGGACAATAGCATCAAACAAAACAAAATGAAGAAACAAACCCAAAAAAATCAAATTTCCACCTCTGTCTTTGCTATTGATCAGGTGAATCAAGCTGACATAAAATTTTTCAGTACATCCAATGAGCTGATGTCACCACTTAGGAGGGTGACCAAGACAACCGGTTTCCAAAAATGTCTTGAAGACAAACARCCAGGTACACAAAATGACAAAGGAGTTGCTGTAGAATTAATGATCTACCACAAAGAGTACAAACTTAGCTTCCCTGTCTAAATATTTTGCCAGAAAAATCATCAGTAGGCCACAGTCCTGGTTCCACCCATGCTAACACTGTCAGCAACAAACTACTCAGGTTTATGCTTAAATCCCACTAACATCTTTGAATTTGTCCCCCTCTTGCTCAATTCCCTTAAAGGAACCTATTAGGTAGCAGTTCTTATACTGTGAATATGAACATTCTGACAGACATACAGCAGGACTGGACTCCTGACAAAACACAGTGATCGTGCTCGTTTTCATTCTTAAAATCAACAAAAGAAGGAMTCTGGTGTTTATTACAGACCTGTAAGAGCAGTACTTTGTTCCCATATTTGGGACACCTTTACTGTTGACCTTTCTAAGGCTGAAGAAGACCAAGACCAAAGTCATGCTGCTCCCAGGAGAAAGTCAAATGCCCACTTAGCAACTTATAGGCTATATAGAAACATTCTCCCCTCCTCTGAGAATGTGCACTCAGGGGATGGAAAGGGCAGAAGGCAGAGAGCTAATACAGGCACCACAGAGAGCAATCCCTGCTGTCCATGGTGAACAGTACCCTGTTCACAAGACTGGGAGAACTCGATTCCACTTCCGCCTTGATGGATAGACAGCACATAAAGAGAGCCTCTTTTACATTAGTTCCAAAAAAATTGTAATTGTTACTATTATAAAGGAGAGTCATATTTATGAGCCAACACCTTCTGGTGAGAACCAATCTTCAGTATTTATAAGACTTGTGCTCTCGGTATAACCAACTCAAATGAAACACATAAATGACAACACATCTGCCTACTACTATCATGTGGTATCAAACTACAGCTTTAAAAAAAGTCCTTCAAATTTATAAATTATTTACAAATTTGCCATATGCAACAACTACAATTTTGTATTTAAGAGAGCCCTGCTTAGCCAAGAAAGTGCAATAGCTCACCCAATGCTGCCATCTTCAGATGGTTATTCAGCGATACACGATTCCCCCCACCCATGTACTCAGATGCACTGAGGTGGCTTGGTGCAGCAGAGTTTGCAGGCCTTGGTAAGTTGCGTTCTCAAGTCTACAATCATCAGGGCGTACTGATAAGGAGTTTAAATATTCACCATATAGMGACACTTTTCATAGACCAGAAACATAGATACCCCACTAAATGCCTCTCTTTGTATGGTAATCTACAGTTGTGATACTCTATATTATACACAGGATAAGTGCACTGGAATGGGAAAGACTGAACAAAGCAATGGCTGTTGAGATGAATATGTTTTCTGAAGCCTCACCTAAGAAAAAATTGATTATTATTATTATTGCTGTTATATGTAGGCWGGTGAATGCAAGCACAAACAGGAGCATCCAGGCTCTCCTGCTCTRATTTCAAATCTTTGACCTGTCTCTGGCATAGACCCTAGAGTGTGGACCCAGAAACTTGGCTCCTCTACAAACTACAGCAATATCTGGTTATCTCCTGTTATTTTCAGTTCTACCTCTTCTTGATGGTAAAGTGTGAATTTGCTACAACCTATATATAGGCTCTTGAAGTAGGAAAGGTGGCTTGGCTTTCCATGTTCTACAAATTCTGAAGTTCTCAAAGAGCTTTACACTAAAATGCTGCTCTGTTAGTCAAATCAGCAAAATGAGATGAAGAATCAAAGTGCCAAATGAGGGATTAGAAATAATTTTTATTCCAAGTGACCTCAATCAAGATTGTGCCAGGAGCATAAGAGAGTGTAATTCTCTTATTTATTCAAAAATATATGAAAGATACTTTACAGTCATGCTCATGAAACATTGTCTAATGGGCTCAAAAATTATTCAGCARATGCATGGAAGAAAATCCAATTAAGAGCTATAAAATACTAATATAGCAGATTTCTTCCTTCAGAGCCTTTGAATCAAAAGTCATTGGCAACTAAAGCAGTACATCAGGAAAATACCACCATATGGCTTTAGACTTACACTGTCCTGCAGATGTCTGCAATTTGTCTGTGTCAGAGACAAGATACTGGGTAGCTCGTCTGGCCAAGTGTATRTGTGATTTTAGGAGTCAGATCAGTTGTCCTGCTATTGATAGGAAAGATAGWGAAGATTAAGCCCTGGCAAACTCCAGATCTGGTCTCTAGGGTAAATACAGTGTCTATTCTTCGCATTCAGATGCTGCCCTGCATTATAAACTGGACTACCAAAAGAAAAAGAAAAAATCAGTGACAGCTATGACAGCTAACAGAAAAAAATCGTTATTTGAGGGTGCTTAGATATTTTCAAAGACAGGAAAAAATGTTTGATAGGCTCAATTCTCCTCACCTGTCTGGTTTCTAAGCCTTTGAAAATCCCTTCTCACATCACATCATTTTGCATTTGAGAATTTCCCTCCTGGGACCTGTGCAAAGAGCTTGTGCTTGGTGTTGAGTCCTAGTGTCACAGAGTCAGTAGTTCAAAATCTGACTTGTTCATAAAAAAGCCTTTCAAGTCATTCCATTTTGCTTAATTTTCTTATGGTGTAGCTGACGACCAATACTTCTGTTCACTTGGYAATATTCAGCATGATATATACCATTCTATTCTCTAAAAGTACCTTATAAAAATGTTGTCAAGATGAGTCCTTAGAACACCAACCATGTTGAGAGTCTTGAGCACTCTCTGCCATAAGAGAAAAAAATGAGGGATTGCATAATTGCGTGGGCACTAAGACTCACCTCAGCATGAACTGCCTATGTCATGGGGCTACAGTGCCATGTGCAGTAGCACAAACAATCACTTTATATGTATATAAAATCAGTTGCCATGAAGACAATACAACTATTAATATATGTAAGCACTTGCAAGACCAGTGCCAGATAAATCCTTAAGACAATATATTTACACTGTTTCTACTGGATTTCAGATTTCAAAGCTTATTTGCATGGACCACTCAATTCAAATGCATGTGATACACTCACGAAACATAAAGATTAATTCCTTTTTCTTTAGGAGTCCTTTGATATTTTAGCTCTAAAAATATTCACCTAGAGATTAAATCTCTCATATAGTTGTAATTATCTCATAAATAAATAATTAGATACCCCTGAAAGACTTTTTTAATCCCATTGTTAGAAATTTATCCTAAGAATTAATGAAATAAGTGTTTTCATTCCCCTTGTAAAAGGTGATCAAATTGCAGGCAACTCTCAACTCAGAAATATA